AAGAAATAAGAATTGGAACTAATTAATATATTTTATTCTCTTGTTAGATGTAAAATAATTTCTCTTTTTAATATTAAATATTTATTGCTATTTCTAATATTTTGTCTACTGTATGCAGAGCCTCAGAGTAATAAAAGTTAAAGTATTTTATAAAATTTATAGTACGACAATAATAAAACCGCCTAATCTCTTTACGCTTGTCACTCGTTATGTGTAGTTAGGCACCACTACACGAGTGTAACCATGTCACAGACACAGAATCTCTGTGTGAGAATCGCTACATCAATATGGCGGAAAGCAGTCCCCCCCCCCGCACGCTTGAATTACCATCCCCTCTCGCCTAAACTAGGACTTTTTTAGACTCGGTCCCTCTATTCCTTAGTCCGTGAAACGCACTTTGAAGATTTATCCGCTATTTTTTAGCAGGAAGTACTAACTAAACGCATGCGCACCCGCACCGTGCTCCGTACCCACCATATTCAAATAAAAATTATTTACTTTGTGTTTTAAACAAAAACAAAATGTTGGAATATAAATTTAACCAATTATTAATAATGTACAAACGATGTACAAACGATTAAGCGCGATAAATTCATAAATTATAGTTTACCTGACGTAATTGCGACGTAAAGGGGGCTAACCATCATTAGCGCAGTTACGAAAACTTTGTCATTTTTTTTTTAAATTAACAAAAAATATACAAATGATAAAAATCATAGTATGTACATTCATGTACATACAAACTATGTACAATCCGAAGATATCAATGTTTTTACGATTTGCGTTGGGAGAGGGGGCAACTATATAAACCGTAATAAAATTCTTGGAAGGACTTGGGTTGTTTTCCAGCAAAGGGCACAAGTTGACACAAGTTGACACAAATCGACACAAGTATCATTCTGTCTTTGTTCCATATTCAATGAGCAACAGAGAGAATAATACTTTTGTGTCGTTTGTGTCTCTTGGTGGAAAACTACCTTGTGTAACATTTCTGTGTTATCAACCTTTATAAGCGACTGATATCCTTTCAATCTACTGCTATTTATGTTGTAAGTGTTAGAGCCACTGGTATGGGATGGATTGTAGTATGCTTCATTAAAAGCAGAGATTTGTTATATTTTATAGTATAAATAAATATTATCAAGTGTGCAAAAATAAATTGTTACAATGTATTATTCATAATTTCTATATATTCTATTCTATTTCATTTTTAATAAATTTTTTAACTGCATATTGTCGAGTCGAATAATATAAAAAATTCTAAGAGATTTAAAAAAATATAATTCCATTGTATCACCAAATGTTTAATTTTGTACAGGTATTATTGAGAAAATATTATCATTCAGAGGCTTCATCCCTTCATCCCTTAGTGGACTCATATATTGCGCTTATCTTGTAAATCCTTTCATCATACAATCGATTAACTTGTATAGTGAACCGACTACCCATATAGAATTTGTGTCCTTTGTAAGTATATGAACTTCTAAAATTGATACCGACAAAATAATACACTTATTGTCACAATTTTTGTTTTCAGGCTAACGTGTGTCTGAGATATGTTGTGTGATTACTTTCTGTTGCAGTTACATATTGACCTTAATGGCAGAAAGCCGTCTATCCTGCTAATGCGAATGTGTACCCAATCTCGCGGTAAAAAATATAAAAAATATGAAATAAAAATTTCGTATACAAAATTGTGACGGAAATATTGTTACAACACATTGGTGTAAATTGTTATTGTGTTTAATTTAAAATGCAAGACGTAAATAATTTTAATAAAATTGATTTAGACGATATACTCCACTATGTGCGATTGTTTGCACTCGAATTCGATGGAGATTTAGGACAAGTTGGACACAGTTCGCATTGATATTGTATGAAAAAAGCGTACAATTGCAATAAATTCATTCGGCACACGCATGAATCTAGATTTCTTTGTCTTTATCATGTAGGCAAATAGTACATAGCATCCATAAGCGGAATTCAGTCAAAATATCTTGTACTAGCTCAAAGGAGTAAATAAAGTTTACAACTCATTTACAAAGCTACAAGTTATCAAATGATCTAAGTTCTCTGTGACGCTATATGTGAACCGGGGAATGTATTCTGGGTGGTGCCGGCGAGGTGACAGATCGGTTTGCCCGGGAAGCTTGTTCGCGTCGACCTTCCTCCAACTGTTTCTCAAGCTGCTCTTTCAAGACTAGAAGCTCTCTTGTTCTTTGATAGACCGGGTCCTATAAACGTATTTTAATAAACATATTTTCTAATTCGTAAACTGTTTATATCGAGGTAATATTTTCACATACTTGCTGCCGCATGCTGGGGTTCCATCTGCAATATAGACTCTTCCATGGTTTGATATATCGCATACTAGCGACTGGCATTAGAACAAGCTGATAATTTGTGCCAGACCGGTAGAGAGGATTTAGATAAAGAGGCAATTGATTGTTGGTATACGACCAAAGAGAAACTGTTCTTTGCTTTACTTGCTCTTGCATTCTTTCGCGTTCGCTGTAAATGTTAACAAAATGACTCGTGTATCCACAAAGTATTAGGCAAATTACTTATGTATACCTGCTAAACAAAAACGTGCCGAATCTGCAAGAGTAGAGATGATCAAGAATTGTAATTAAAAAATGTTCATTAAATTCGAAAGCGTTAGGGAATTGCCGCATTATCTGCCACACACAATCGATAAATTGTAGAAATACTGGCGATCTATCCGCATCACTGTGATGCTCATCTCCATGACCTATTCTCTAAAAAAACCATTATTCACTATAAACAATGTGACAATAACATAACATGTCAAAATTTCACAGAATAAAATTATCAATATCCATGGAAATAATTTAAAATTCTCTACGTGGAGATACCTGTTGAAATTTATGCCCAAAGCTAAGCCATTCTTTTTCTATCAGAACCTCAAATCCTTTAATTGTTCTATAGTATGGATCTAACATTAACATTGCGAGAGCTGTAAGCTAAAACAGACAATAACCATGTGAATGCAGATTTAGAAATGACGAACTTGGAAATAACCGACATTTACTTGTGCTGTTCGATCCCAACCGTCCGAGCAGTGAACCAGAACAGAAGTCTTATGATTTTCGACTTTATCCACAATTCTCACCGCTCCGGCAAGAACACATTTGATATGTTTAAGCCACATCGTCGATTCTATACCCGACAGCCATCGAGCTTCGTCAATTGTGGGGAAACATAATTCTAAAATAAAGTATGTGTAGACAAATGTACAAAAACAAAGCTTTGTATCAGAAAAGCAATGAGTCTGTAATACCTTTTAACTTCCTAAGACTTTCTCTCATAACGTGTATATTGTGAATATCGAGAAAGACCAATTCCGCATTCTGATAAGCGTCTTCGCTTTCGTATCCACCACCTTTCGCTTTGTTCGCTATTGCATTTGGCATTGGCCGTGCGTCCATAATGAATAGTTTATGACTTTGTGCGTTAGCGTCCATTATTAATTGAACGTATCTCTCATCCTCGCGACTCCGTTTCCCTCCGACACCTACCAATGGTTGAGCACAACGCGTTATCGTCGCCTGGCTTTCCGGATGAATCCATGAGAGAACTGGCAGTCTACCTCTACTTCTAAAAGAAGCAGATGCTTGAAGATCTTCATCGGTTGCTGCAGCAGGCACTGCCCAAACAGCTGGATAACTGTCACATAGTGAATATGTGTCATTGATTTTAGATATTTTCCACATGTCATTATTTACACCCTGAAATCCAATAAAAAAAAATTTCAAATTTCAGACAAACCATTATAATATTATATTAAAATATTTTTTCTGTATTTATAAATATATTTCTAAAATTACTAAATGTTAAAATAAATAAAACAGTAATTTTGTATTTGTAAGTATGTCCGTAAATTTATTAAATCCTTAAAAGCTTTCAGTTTTAAACTGCATATCACATTTCGTGATATTATAGAATATTACATACCATTCTCTTTAGCTCTGCAATAGGCTCGTAAACATTCCAACCATTTTCGGAGAAAGTCTCAGAATATTCAAAGGCAAACAGAGGTAACTTGTGAGATAATGGAAAGGAATACTGTTGTAGTTTCTCAAATACATCTCGTCTGGAATGATTCTCCTGCTTGTGAGCAAATCTGAGATTTCTCATGTCCTTACAAAACACTTCGATTCCATAAGAATTCTCTCCTCTGCTCGATGCGCCACCGACTTTCTCGATTCGACTAACAACTCCCAATGGCACTTCAACAACATAAGGCGTTTCTCGATCTATACTACGGAAATGGAGCTTGTAGTTTGTAACACTAAGGATTCCTCTGGCAGGTCCTGAGTAAGGACATAAATAAGTAACTTCGTGCGCAATGCCTTGCACTCGTTCTCCATTGAGAAGTGGTGGCCCCGTGTCTCCTCCAGATAAATTCTAATCAAAATAATGAAATAACTAACAAGCTACAAACATCATATAATACTAACAAAAAATGGAAAGATTTTCTAAAACATAACTTCAACAGAATAAATGGTATAACAATAAATATATTACAAAAGTAAAAGTGAAAATATATCAAGACACACGATTATGTCTCGTGCCAAGTTCATGCGCAACGCGCTTTTTAGCGACTAGAAATAATGGTAACATATTTTCTAAATAAGAAAATGTTGCATTTTAATAAAATTAAATTTCATCGACTAGATATACACATAAATTAAAAATGCCATAATATGCAGAAATAAAAATAAAAATTGTACTGTGCTTGAAACTTTACTACAGACTCACTTTTACTTGATTATCTTTTTTAGCCTCCAAAGCAGAGACTATATTATTATCTGTTGAAGTAGAGCTTGAAGAAAAGCTTTTTGAATGTGATGCCTTTTCCCAACTCTCCTGAAGAAATTGCAAGTTTATTTAAAACTCAACAAATAAAATTATGCTGTATTGTTGGCTTCAACAATAATTAATAATATACTTTTGTTCATACCGATTCCTGGCCCATTTTTGAATTAAGTGAACTGCTTTTGCTATCTGAGTTAAGGGAATCTGTACTGGCATTCTTTGAGTTGCTTTGCTCTGTACTAAGAAGTTCTGCACTGCCCCTTTTTTCCATACTTGTATTAATAAAGATAGTCAAATTTTTCTACTTTTGTCGCATTCTTGCACTTAGTTTCATTTATTATCCATAGCTGTACAATCCGTTAGAATCTGCACATAACGAATCACATTCTAAAATATTGATAAAAATATACTATTTATACATTAATAATATCAATCACTTTTAAGTACAAATTTATAAAATGTTAAACTAAGGTATCAAGATGACAATATCATTATCTAAAAATTAAATCTGATAAATTACTTATTTTTAAATATATATACAATAATTAATATTGCGTTCAAATATTTCTTGAATGTATAAAAATTGTAACGTATAGAAAATCTAAACAATTTTTTTATGTGTAATAATCTTAAGTACTGTCTCTGCACCATAACCTCACAAAATTTACAGAAACTATTATAACAATGATAAAATAATTTTGATATATTTTTAATTTAATAAATTAGCAGTAAAATTATCAAAGTACATTATAAACAACACTTACTTTCACATAAACTTTATAATAAAAAAAATTTTTTTTTTTAAAGACTGATATAATCGAAATTGAAAGTAAATTATGCCACGCCCAAAGATATACGAGTTACTTTATTAGCGATTACGTGTGCAAAAATTTCAGTTGCATCAATATCCATATGATGCGCTAAGTACAAACCTATATTTCGAACGTTTTTATACAATGTACCCCTGCAGCGTTTACTCCTGTCAATGCAATAGACTTTTGACAGACGCGACCATCTTGCAAATAATCGCAGACAGGTGACGCTGCATTTAGTGTTCTCAACTCCACGTGCATCGTGCATTTGTGCTGCACCTGTTCGAAACTACATATCAAAGATGGCTTTGCTAAAAATGTTTTTAAAAATTTGTGAAAAAACAAACAAATATTTTTCAAATAATTTCTCACAGAGATTAAACCATGAAACTTCAATAATTTACATTTCACATAAAATATAAACGTATTTGATAAATTATTATTAATTAGTAATACCCATACAGCACAAAACATTCTCAGGATATCCTCAGAACATCGAGGATATTTCGGTGTTCCCAGGATGTTCTGAGAACATCGAGATCTCCCCAAGATGTTTTAAGGATATGTAGGATATTTTGTGCTGTATAGGTAAGAACGTTTTTTATTTAAAGGCTACCTTCAGAAAACACAAAACTTAAAAAATTAGTTTAATAATTACAAAATAAAATCTGATTTATGATTTAGATTGATTATGATTAGATTTATATAATAAATGTTTAATCCATAGCCTTCTCTTCAATTCTTAATTTTACAATACAAATGCGTTAAAAATTAACATAACTTTTTTATTTTATTTGATGTCAATATTCTAATTAGTATAAAACATAATTATTTTAACATTATAATTTGTTTTTTTATATTATGTATATAAGAACAGTTTTATTTATAAAATTTTTAAATTCTTATTTCTTCATACACATAAATAATTTTTTACATTGCTAAAAAATCTTTTAACTGGATTTAAAATAAATACATTTCCAGATTATTAAATTTTGATAATGAATTAATTGGTTCAATATAAATCGCATAATCTTATGAGCGCAATGTGAAACGACGGACGTGTGTTTTTTCCTTTGACAAATAAATGCAATTACATCTATATTATATGGATTCCGGAATAGTTAAATCTTATTAAATGTTAAATTGGATTACGGTCAGGCTCTGCTTCGTGCGTGTTATCAGCTCCAATGGATGGTCGCAACTTCATATCTGAAATGACTTGTAAACCAATCAATTTTTCCTTATCAACCGGCACATGTATCGCTCTTTGTGTAACGCGCCTTGTAAGATGTAATTTGACACTCTTCCTATCATCAAACTCCTTGGCGTCTTCCAAACTGCGCCGTTGGAAGAAACTCCTAAGCTATTATACCCATACAGCACAAAACATTGCATTTACATTGCAGCAATGTTACAATCTTGCAAGTTGCAATGTAATATTGTTGAGAAATTATTGGAACATTGAATTGTAATATTTCATGAGAATGTGACAGCAACATTGCAAAAAACATTACAAGAGCAATATTCGGTAATCGCTACCCAGGGAGAAATACAGGTCGAAGAAACGTCTAATAGACATCTAATAGTAT